CATGCCAGAGAAGCTCTCCCTAATACCATGCGTTCTCACCAGGGCTGAACCCCTGGTGGTGGTGTGAATCCCCTGAGGCACGAGGGCTGATCTGAATGACTGTAATACAATAAGGTCCTCACCAATGTGTAGGAGAGCCATCTATCCACCCCAGTGACACCTCATCAAAAGGGAGCCTTCCTATGAATCTCCTGGGGATGGTGGGACATGGTGACAAATGCAAGCAGGTGGGAGAGGTTAGTTGTACAGTGTTCCACACAAAGTTTAACAAAGCACCCTCAACAAAATTCACTCTACCTCACCCTCCTTAAGTGTTACGTGACCACAACGCACAGGCATAACTGGTGAAAGGAAACGCGATAAAAGAGTGAAATATAATTCTCATACAGCGAACTGCAGGATTCTCTCTGAGATATGCAGATCTTCTTTTCTTCACCATTTTTTGTTTAAGTTAACACAGAAAAGCAAAATGAATACAACAAGATTCATGAACCCACCAGCACAATTAGTAAATAACATTTTATCTTATTTGCTTCACATTTCTAAAGTACAGTATTACAGATACAAAGGAAATCTCCTTTGCACTCCTCCCCAGATCCAGCGCTCCCTTCCTCCCCAAGAGGCCATCAATGTTGAGTTGGGTGTGGATCCTTCTCTTCCATGTTTATTCTTCTACGCTGTTCATATATATTCCCTAACCAAATATAGTATTATTTTGTATGTTTTTAAAATTGGTAATAAAAGTATGTGTCACACTGTATACATCATGCTTCTTTTTTTCATTTAACATTGTGTTTTAGAGATTCACCCACACAACTGTGTAGAGATCTAGTTCATTCATTTTAATTGTTATAGTCTACCAAATTTATACCACATTTTAACCATTTGGTCCCTTTCTGAGAGTCTTTTAGGTGGTTACTGGTTTTTGTTATTACAAACAGTGCTGCAATAAACATCCTGTACACACCTCCTTATGCACATGTTCAAGAGATACTGTGGGAGATGTGAGTCCAACATGGGGTTTTAATTTTACTAGACAGTGACAAATTGTTCTCTAATAGAAATAGTTCCTACTTCTCATTTTCATCACACTTGTACTGTTAGACTGTTTAATGATTGCTAATCTAATAAGTGTGAAATGATATTTCATAGTCATTTTAACATGCTTGTCCCAGATGACCACTGAAGGTAAACATCCTTTCATGTATTGACTACTAGAGTTTCCTCTTCTGCAAAATACCTGTTCAATTGTGCCACTTTCTAAAACACTGTCAAAAGCTGTTTATTGAGTGGATGACATGAATGCCCTGGTAGTTCTAGGATCTGAAAAATAAGGTGGGTGTTATTAAAAGTTTACATAAAAATAATGCATTCCAGAATAACAGAGTTCGGCACCTCAAGCTGAGGTTCATAGCAGCATCACAATTTTGCTAGTGAAACTAATGCTTATTACAGGTTACACGTTCCCGCTGGTTAATGGACGTTTTAAATCCTGTGCAAATTATACTACAATCTATGATTCCTGATCCTGAGGAAGAAGAATGAGCTGGAGCATCTGGCTTAGAACAAAGAAGTAGGGTCCATTTTCACTTTATGTCTACAGGGATCAAGGAAAAAAAACCGTATTCCCAACTTCGTCCTCCAGACAGCTTGGCAAATAAGCACACACATACACACACACAAAACAGTGATGATGGCGTCAACTCTGAATCACTATCAGAAAATAGAAAGAGGAATAAATTAAATAGAATTTTTCATATTTATATACCACAAATAGCTATTATCCCAAGGGAGGGCATGTATATTCTGAGGGTAAGAATTTTTCTAGCTATGAAATTATAAATCTTATTGTTTGTAAGACAACCATTTTTACATAAGGTGATTTTTTTCCTTTAGCTTTTTGCTTATGTACTTTAAAACCACATATCACTATTATCAGGGCATTTGCATCTTATCATGCTCAAGAGAAATCTACAGAGTCTGCATCAATTCTTTATATATCTGAAAGTTGACCACTATGGGGATGCCAAAGATTATGTTTGTAAGAAGTGTGAAGGGAAATCCCCGAGCCAAAGGAAACTGGATATCGAGGTAACTTTTGAGGATCCCTACGATGGTTGGTAGCAAGAATCCGAGAAAACAGTTAACTAAAGACCTGAGTTGGCTTTGGAATGTGGTTTTGTCCTTTTAGTTTGAACTTGGATGTTTTTGAAGTAAAGGGAGTTAAAACCATTAAAAAAAATAATAATAACAATCCCAGAAGGAAGAAAATGCAAAATGATCTGTACAGCTTCCATCTCCGTCCCTCTAGTTTTGTGTTTCTCGGCTGGGGCTGGTCACTACCAAACCACAGAGGCAGGAAAGTCCTGCCAAGGCAGAGGCTCCCTCTGTCAGCGTGCTGCTATGCCGTTGGTCTGTGCCTTCCTTGGGCAATGGGAGACAAGTGCTTTGCTCTTCAAAGCAGACAAACATCAACCTCCCTCCATTTAAGCCCCTTCTGAGAAGGGCTTCCTACTTTTGCCTCTGTTGGGGGGAAGCAACCCCACAAGAATGAGGAAAGCATCATGTACAACTGTGTAATGAGACTCCCCAGTATTCCCACTCCGAAGGCCAGCTCCCTCAGCCCAAGCTGTCTCCAGCCATAGATGTGGTAGAGAGGTCTTCGGGGAGACTCCACTCTGCTATCCCACATAGCTTTGGGCAACCCTAGGACCACTCGGATCATGCATGTCACTGGGTCGATGGAGTCCTCAAAAACATGGAGCAGCTGTGAAGGATTCACTTCTGCCTGGACTGCGGCATCTGCTCTGTTGGAATAGGCACAGCTCCAGGACACCGCCCCAGCCCACACCTACAAGATAAACAGTCACTCATTCCCAACACTCTGAGACCGGGTCCTTCTATGGGAAACACTGGCTGCATGTCAGGCAGGGTTCAGTCAATACTCATGGTCATGAGCTTAGTTAGGCCTCTTTGTACCAAACTCTAACTGGGTCAATCATGAACAAAAGTAAGTGAGGGAGATTTAGGGTCTGAACCCAGAACACTGGCCTTTTTAGTGCCACACTCCACTCAAGACAAACTTATTCCAGGTCAGTGGATACCGGCAAGGCAGGTAAGAAGATAATAACACAGGAGGTGGAGTCTGGAGATGGGGAGGTGGGACTGCTCAGACAGGGAGTTTTGTTTCTGGAATTCTTGGTTAGAACAGGAAAAAAAATTTCTCAAGGAAACCATGCTATAAACAAACATCAGGCATGATGGTTACAATTCTATTCTCTCTGTATTAAATATTCTTTTGTGATTTAGCATGAACACTTTTTCCCCATAGAGAAAGCTATGGGGAAACAACATTTAAAGCTAAAACAACAAACTTAAAAGAACTTCAGAATACCGCATATTTGTGAACTGAGAACTTGTTCTGCTGGAGAAAGAACTGACTCCGTATATCAGTCCTTCATTTGCATGCGTCCTCTAGGGGTGAAATCATCTGATGCAATCAACGGAACTTTCAAACATTTGAACAGAAAAGAGAATCAGTAAGTCAACCCTTACCTCCGTCCACCCCATCTTCCTGCCGAGCGGTTGCCTTATGCAAGGTTTAAGCAACAGGTGGTTATACCCATGCCCATCCTGTACTTCTCTCAAAATAACTATCATCACACTTTCATTGTAATTGTTTAACTGTCTGCCTGCCTCACCCCACCCCCACTAGAATGCAAGCGTCACAGCAAAGGATTCAGATTTGTCCACCATCGTAGCCCCTGCTCAGCACATAGTAGGCACTCATTAAATATGTGTTGAATGAAGGAATGAGTATAACAGCTGGCTCAGAGTAGGTACTAGGAAAGGATTTGTGAATGAAATCCCTTTAGAATGTTGGGAGAAGTAACTGATGTCAAACGGGCCATTTAACCTGGGGCAGGAGGAGTAACCCGTGCCTGGCAAAGTGTATCTGGAGTGACGTTTAGGTATGGAATATATTTTTAGGTTAGGGTATGCAAGTAGGGTCCAAGAATTCTGTACAATGAGGTGATTCAATTTTTATAGTGAGACATTGTAGATGGCACTATTCGGCTTATAAATGTCTTAAATCGAGAATGGCCCCAAGGCAGAATGACCCAGCAGAACTTAAACCAGAGAGAAAGAAATCCTATGCACTGAAAGCCCCTGGACTATGAAGCCCCCTCAAATCCAGGAAAAGATGGTAAGTAGACACACAAAGCTGAAGGAGGTTGCTCCTTTATCTTTTTTAGGTTGGACCTTTTATCTGCGGGTTATCAGGACTCTCTGTGTGTTCCAGATGCCAAGGTGACAGTGTCTCCGGTTAGGATAACAATTCCCTTTCGTATCTGCAGTCTATTACAGGTAACAACGTAATTTTGCATCCCTAATTAACCAGATCATCTGCTGCAGGACCTCCCCATACACACTCCTTCCCTACTCGAGGTGAGGGGATAGCTGGCCTGGCGAACTGGCCTAAGGGGAGAGGATCTGAGGTTTGGGCCGGCACAAAGCTTGACAGGCCCGTCAGCGACCTTGGGGTTCTGGAGTCCAGGCGCCGCGCCTCGCCCAGCCCCGCTCTCGCGCTGGATCAGGGCCGGGGCGGCCCGCCACCCCTCAGGGATTCGCAGCCCCTCGACATCCGGGACAGCGGGCCGCGCCTCGCCGGGCCCCGGGGCCAGGAGGAGGGGCGCGGGGCGCAGTCGGGGCGGCGGGGGACTCACCTGCAGCAGCACGGCCAGCAGGAAGCACAAGTACATCTGGTAGATGCCCATCTCCCCCACCGCCTGGAACGCCTCCTCCACCTCCATGGCGGGCGCGCGCTCGGCCCGGGCCCAGCCGCGAGCGGGAGCCCGGCCCCTCCCGCCCAGCCGACCGACGCCCCCTGCGGCGCGGCCCTCCCTCTGCGGGCGCGGCGCGCGGCCCGGCGCGGGAGGGAGCGGGAGTGCGGGCGCGGCGGGGCGGGGCGGTGCGCGGGGCGGCGGGCGGGGCCGGGGGCGGCCGGAGCGCGCGCTCCCAGGCGCCCATCCAGGCGGCGGCCGGCCGGAGGACAGCGTGCGCGTCTGGGGTTGGATACCCGGTACCCCGGCCTCTGGGCTTCCTGTTAATCACTCTTGTCTGAGAGCGATTGGTGTCTGCGCCGCTTAAAGTGAGAGCAAAGAGGAAGTGGGCTCGGGCGTGCGGCATCCTCGCCGATGGAGAAACACGGGAACTGCCACTGGGTCTAATCCGTGGCCTGTGCTTGGTGCGGGGGGCGGGGGGGCGGGAGGGGGGGGAGTGGTAACTGTTGGGTGACCTGCTGGCGACTCAACATTATTTGTCCAGATCAGTTTAATGCAGGAGGTTGAGATGGGGCGTTCTAGATCCTTCGGAGAAGAGTGCTATTCAACATTTCTTTCCAGTCCTATTCAGTGCTAGCTGTGTGGTCACAGGTAAACAAATTCTTGCAAAACCATGAGACACATTTGCATCTAGAAATATGCCCTTGGTACAAAGGAAATACAGAAGAGGAAAGATTAATCTGTGGGATAGGAGGTGATGGCTGCCAAGGTGTTTGAAGGATAAACAGCAGTTTGCCGGGCTGGAAAGGTGGAGAAAGAGACAGCAGGGCCGAGGGAGGCTGGCTGCCTGCCTTAGTCCCCTCTTTCCTCCGCCTCGTTAACTTGGTTTTAACAGCTGCATAGTATTCCATTGTCCAGGCCATTATCCCCAATACAATACTGAATAGAAGAGGTGACCAGCTAATATTCTATCTAAGATTTTACATCTAACAGCGTGAGAGAGGCCTATAATTTTCTTTCCTTCCTGCTGTCCTGGTCTGGATTTGGCAGTGGGATTACGGTGGTTTAGTAAAATGAGTTGGAAGTCTTTGGTAAAGCTCCTTTAAACCATCGACTTGGCTTGTTTTGCAGGGGGAGCCTCTTTATTACAGAGATAGATAGATAGGGAAATACCACATATTTTTATGGCTTTGTGTTCTTGAATTACTTTTGGTTATTTTTTTTCTAAAAATGTTGCTATTTTGTCTAGTTTTCCTTTTGGTTTTGGAATAAACGTGTTCATCTTTTTCTCTTAGAGTTTTTTTTTTAAAAAAAATCGTGTTCTAGCTCTATTTATGCCCCATTTTTCATTCTTAATATTGTTCATTTTTATTGTTCCATTCTTATCAGTCTTGCTAGAGATTTGTCTACTTTGTTGTTTTTAAAGAACCCGTTTTTATTTTGTGATTTTTTTCTATATTTCTTTGTTTTCTATTTTATGAATTCTTTGAATTCTTAACTTATTTTTGTAACTCTAATTCTTTTACTAGCTACCTGACTTGAAAGTGTAGCTTATTTGCTTTCAGTTTTTCTAAAAATAATTGTACTTAAGGCTATGCATTTGCCTCTAGGCACTACTTTGCTCTATCCTATTTTTATCATGTGGTACTTTCCTTGTCTTTAGTTTTTTGTTTGTTTTTGTTTTTTTAAAAAAGATTTTATTTTTCCTTTTTCTCCCCAAAGCCCCCCGGTACATAGTCGTATATTTTTAGTTGTGGGTCCTTCTAGTTGTGGCATGTGGGATGCCACCCCAGCATGGCATGATGAGTGGTGCCATGTCCTCCCCCAGGATCGGAACCAGCAAAACCCTGGGCTACTGAAGCAGAGCTCATGAACCTAACGACTCAGCCACCAGGCCGGCCCCCCTACTTGTCTTTAGTTTTAAATATTCCATGACATTGTAATTTCCTCTTTAACCAATGAGCTATTTGTTATCACATTTTTTTTTTGGTTTCCAATTAATGGCTGTTGCTACTTTTTAACGATCTTCTTATTGATTACTAATATAAATGCTTTGTGAACAGAGATGATACTAAATCTTGGAAATTTTTTGAGTTTTCTTGTGACCTAGTGTGTGGTCATTTTAGAAAAATGTACTGAACATAGTGAAAATATTCTTCATTTGTTTGGGTGCAAGGCTCTCTATATATTACATCAAGCTTGTTCATTTTATTTAAGTAGTCTATATTACTACTGGACTTTTCTCTGCTGGATATATCAGTTTTTAATAAATGTGTCAGTCTTACAAAATGCTTATAATATTGGAGTTTTTACCAGTTCTCTTTATTTCTGTAGGTTCGTAAAAGTACCAATAGATTCATTCATTTTATCATGATGAAGCAGCTCCTTTCTCTTTTAATGCTTTTTGTCTTAATTTTTATTTTGTCTAATGTTCATATTACTACATCAGTTTTGTTGTTGTTCGCATTTTCTTTGTAATCTTTTTATTTTCATACTTTTGGTTTTATTATGTTCTAGGCATGTTTATGGAAGGAGGAATTTTTTTGTCCATCCAATTCAATAGTCTCTGTCTTTTAACAGGTGAGTTAAATCCATTTATATTTATTGTGAGTGACATATTTGGAGTTATTTATACCATTTCTTTTTGTGTTTTCTGTTTACCATCTTCTTTCTTTTTCCTTCTTGGCCATCCGTTGGAGTCTTAAAGCCATTTTTCTCCTGCCCTTCTCTCTGTTTGCTATTTTGGGGAGCTACAGATTGCTTTGTTATTGTTATTGTTTTGGTAGCTACTCCTACATTTTTAACATCTACATAACTATGCACTGTTCTATAATGTTTATAGTTTTTTAATATATCTGTCCTCTTTTCTAACTCATAAGAACCTACACAAGATTCCAAAAGTGCTTTATCTCAGAAAACATAGGACATAAAGATGTTATATTTTGGGAAACTTTGTTAGGTGACTCAAGAAGTGACTATTGTGGTGCCAAAGCACTGATGGAGAAGATTCATGTGAAGTGTTTTAATAAAAAAACTTCCATTGTTAAGGAAAATTATCCTCTATTTAGAAACAGTAAGAAAGCAAGCAGAGAAGGTAATGAAGTATTGTTTAACAGGCCCACCCCAGGACTATTTAATTCAGTAAGAAAATTTACCTGTGTTTGACTTTGCTATTTACTGTGAATTAGAGTCCAGATACTATGCAGTGACATGTAAATTTGTAGATTTTTGTTTGGTAGATACACAAATGATTATGTTCAATAGGAAAGATAATCTATTATTTTCTTGTCCTGTAAAACATGAACTCATTCTGTAACTAATCCAGCAATCTTATTTTAACATTCTTTTTTTCTAGAAATGACCAGTTTCTCAAATGCTTTTAGAACCAGTTTTATCATCCTACTGATTCGTTCATCAATTAAAGTAAAATTGTTGACGTGAGATCATTCTAAATTGAAAGAGAGTCATATTTTTTAACTTTTGAAAATTTTTCTTTGACATCATGATGCATGGGAGTAAAAATATTATAAATTAATATTTTATATGATATATAGCTAAATTAATAAATTAAATGTTAAGTAAAAATTGGGTTATTTCATCTTACTTCCTAAAAGTTTATATATTTTAAGTCAGCCAAAAATTCTTCTGTATATTCAGTGTGAATTCACCATATATTAGGACATATATGTTAAAAGCAGTTGGTTATCTTCAGAAGAGAAAGTGCAACCTGGGAAGTGTCAGAAATGAGGTCAGACGGGTTGCTAGAGGCTGGGTAGGCAATACTAAGGAGCTTGAATATTCTCCTACAGCTCATGGGGAACCACTGAAGTGTTGTAAGCTGGAGTGATGTGATTTTTAAGTGATCATTTGGCATATGGGGGATTAGAATTAGCCACCTCAAAATATGTCTCTTTGCCGTCTTTGTTTTCAAGAACAAAAGACTCTGAAAGAAACTTTGACCTCTCCCTTTACTGCCTAAAAGAAATTAACGATAAAAGACCTGTCCCCAGGACAGGCCATCACCATAGATAACTCTGGGTATCGGTAGACTTTGAGGGTCTTTGCTAAGCCCAATCTTATCTACCAAACATTTGCTTTTCCAACTCCATGTGAATTGCCTTCCTCCCCTTTGAAGCCCAAAACCACTACCCCAACATCCTCCTTTGTCTTTAGCTAAAGATGCTATTTAAGGTGACAGCTTTGGCCATTCTAATGAGTTGCTCAGTTTTCCTGGGTTTCTCCCATGTGTACATGTTATAAAGCTTTGTGTGATTTTCTCCTGTTATTCTGTCTCATGTCAATTTAATTCTTAGGCCAGCCAGAAGGACCTAGAGAGGGTAAAGGATTTCTCTTCCTCCCCTACAGACAGCAGTGGAAAATGCATATAACACCAGTTGAGACACTGTTCTAATGGCCTGGCCAGGACCCAGTGAGGGCCTGAGGGCTTAACCCAGAACAATGATAGTAGGGATGGAGAAGTAAAGTCGAATTTAAGGTAAAATCTGCAAAAATTGATAGTGATTGCATTTTGCTGAGGCAAAAGAGAGAAAACAGGAGTGATTCCTGTGTTTCTGGCTTCGAGGACTGGGAAAATGGAGGTACTATTTAACTGAGATAGGGAACACAGAAAGTGGAGTAGGTTGACAGTGGTAGGTTGAAAGGCCTGTAACAGGAATGGTGGGGCCGACATGCATTGCTCTTTTAAATGGTTGTTGCCCCTTTAAGATCCCGCCCTTCCCCCTTTACCCACCCAGGCCCCTGCTGGATTTCCTTGCCCTAATTTACAGTCAGCTCCAGAGCCTCTGAGCATGCGCTGCAGGAAAAGCTGGACTAATTAAAGCTCTCCTGAGGCTCAGGTATTGCATCTGTGGCTCTTAGCAAAGAGTTCCATTTTGAGAGCATATTTTCCCCATCTGACCATTTTTTTCTCATTTTTCTTTTTCTTAAGTCCTTTTCTACCATAATTCTATAGCACCTGTATCCTTCTTTTATAACCCAGGAATAATGAACATCTGGGCTTTTTTTTAAAATAAAAAAAATTAAAATAATGTTTAGAATAGGGTGTCTATCAAATACACGCTTTTTGGACTATGAGAGAGAAAAAGGTTAGCTTTATCTGGTAAATTACATAAGGCTTTGAAGCAAAAATACTAATCATTATCTCCCTTTTTTTTTTAATATATAAAACCTGTGCACCTAACCACTGTAGCATATCTTTTGCTTCATTGGTAATTTGGTGTCCCAGAAGACTACTGAAATTTGGTGTGCGAGGTAATAGACTTTGTGTATATTAGGTGTTGTTTCAAATCTTTGGAAATCAGTGTTGTATACCAGCCTAAATGTACCCAGAGTTACTGTCTTTCTAAAACATCTGAAGACCATTTTTCCTTCTGCATAAACCTTCATTCTGAGATAACCCTTTCTTGTTGCTATGCCCCAGCAACATTCCTTAATAAAGATAGCCAAAGCACAAATACTGCTGTCAACATTAAGTTGATGTAAACCCAGCAAATATGATGGGAACAACCAGATCACAAGGAATCCAGATTTTCTGGGTAGATGTCTGGAAGGAAGGAGCAAGAAGACAAAGGGAGGAGAAGCAAAAAGAAAGTGGAATTAGTGGTGAGATGGCCGTGTCTCCGTTACCTGGCCTCCCAAACCAACAACTGTCATTCAAAACCCATCCTTAAGTGGGTGAAAAGCGTATGCTCAAATAGCTCTAAATTTAATATGGAGAAATTGGCCATTTCCATGTCTCAAACTTTAGCAATAAAACAACAGTTTGAATAGAGTTAGGTCTAAAATTCAGGAGGTTATGGTAGAGAGAGATGAAATATGAGGGAAATTAGTCATTAATTATGTTTGAGTTTAGATGGTAGAGTGTTTTGCTTGCTATGAGTCCAGTTTTACATGTTGTCACAAGAGGCACTGAGCTTAGCTAATAGGACATTCATTTAATTCAACAGATTCATTCCTGAGTCCCTAACTTTAATGAAAATGTCAGTGTTGTTGTTGCTTCTGCTGTTACTGCTGTTGTGCTGCTGCCTTTTCTTACGTGGGAGAGTTACACAACTAGGGAATACAGACTGAAATGATGAATTTGCTGTACTCATGGGGTCAATAAATTGAGGCCCTGATTCAGTAGGATGGATGAAAATTTGCCCTATGCAAGGACAAATGCCTCAAAAGTTCCCCAGGATTAAAATCTGGATGCTACTGGAACTGCCTGAACCACTTTAGTTGGTTGAGTATTGCAAAAAGAGGATGGTAACCTGCATATGAAGAGTCTGTACCCAAACGGGGCTTTATAAATTAAAATCAGCAATTGACATTGCTTTCAGAAAATAGGAAGCCAAAGTAGATTTCAGAGAATCAAGTTTGATACACTTGATCTACTCAGCCTCAGAAAAGAGAGGTCACCAATCCTAAACCGTTTTGAAAATTGGAAATATTAGAATTTGTCCGGCAAATGCTTGCTGAGTCATTACTCTGTCCTGGATATTGTTCTGGCTGCAAGCAATACAGCCTTAAACCAGTAAAGCTTCTCCCTCTCCCTGGTGGCACTTGCATTCCAGTGAAGCCTTCCTTCTTGGCGGCAGTCCTGGATGGGTTGGGTGGCGGTGAGATCTAGGAGAAGGAGGAGAGGTTGATTATGGAAATTGCACCCTTCTCTATTATCTGATCATGAAACCAACCAGAAATCAAAACATAACAATGTGAATCAAGTAGAGTACAAAGTAGTCTTTATAGTTCATTAAGGATTCTTCAGTGTAACAGCTCCTGCCTCTGTGTTTATCTGCCTTAAGAAGAATGTAGCCAAATCTTGTTATTTCCCTATAAGGAAAGTCACTTAGTAGAAAGTTCTATTAATGCACAAATTCACAAAGAGAATTTGCATGCTTTTCAGAACCAAATTAACCTCTAAATTACTGGCATACAGCTATTTGAGCCAAAAAGATCATATTGCATTTTAAACAGTATAAACTCATCTTCTTCATCGGCCTTCATTTGCATGAGAAGAGTGTCTTATTCTCAGCCAAACTGAGCAAATCAAATCCTCCTGTCAGTTGTCTGTTCCAGCTCGGATTGTGAATATTCTCCGTTTTCTTTTCCTTGCCTGCCCGGGCTGAGAGTCTTCCTTCACCTTTTTTGAGTCACAGCATCTTTTGCAAATCGAATGAAAGTTAATGGTTTTTCTGAGGAAAATGAGGGTATGGGGAGGGTGCACTCATACACACATTTTGAATACTATTTTTTAAAAATCACTGAGTCCAACCCCCACGATATAGACATGATAAATTAAGGCTATGAGTGGTTAGAGAATATGTTTAAGATGATGAAAGCGTAGACCGCAAGTCACACATTTGGCAGAGCAGTGCATAAAACCAAGTTCTCAAAAGTTGGTGCTTTTTTTTAGTGTCTGAGACCTCTCTCAGGTATAGGCCCCATCTCTGAAGCATTTTTTCTTGTCTGGAAATATTAATATAGAACAACATTATCTTTGTAAAACATTTGCACTCTGATTCCTTTGTAAACAAGGTAAATGTGTCCCCAGATCCACAACGATTTTGTGGTTGGGG